AATTATTTAACATTTTTTGTCCTTTCCTATTTGTTTTTGGCTACATTAAAGCATTTTTTTGAAAATATACAGTAAGGTTCCATATTACCACCCGATTTTCTCTAAGCCTACTTTCGGACTTTTTGTACAAAAGCCTTCAAAAATCATACTTATAATTACACTAGCGAAAAATCCAATTAGGAACATTTAGTTTAATAGTTACCAGTACTTTTCGCACAAAAAATGTGGGTGTAGTTACGATACCTTGTTTACAATTCACTAAAATGTAATTGGGGTTCCATAATACCACCTTCTCCTCTACACACGTGTGCTTTGCGCAGAGCCGTAACTAGGCAGGTGCAACAGGTGCACCCCGCACAGGGTCCAGTTGGAAGGGGGGCTTAAACTGTTGTTCACAAGAAATTATATGTTTAAATTTTAAACTTAAAAATATACATTACATTTCGCCTTACTTAGACCCTAGATGTCTGCTCACCAGTGTTTCCAACTGTGGCGACTTTTAGAGGGACGTAGTGAGGTAGCGAAGACCTCAGTCAAATCAGCCAAAAGTAGCGACTTTTGTTATTTTTAATTTATTTTTTGAGAAATTTGAATTTATGTTTATAGTTTTCAAATTTACAGATTTATCTCTATAGAGCTTTCTGGCAACTACTAATACTACTACGATATACAAAACTGTATTTCTAGATTTTTCTACAGTGTGCAGAGCTAGAAATCTGCAAAGTTAACATTTTGTAACAAAAATAAATCTGCCCGAGAAATTTTTAAAATTACTAAATTGAAAACGGTAACTCTCGAATAAAATCTCAGTCTCGAGGTTGTAAAAGGCGTGCAGAAATTCTGACATCCTTTTCTGCTTTGTAGTAGTACGCATATGTGGTGTATACCTAAACGGCGGATTAAGCGGTAAGCGAACTATGCGGGCGCGTAGGGCCCCGAAGGAGCTCCCGCTGTCTTTAAAATGCTACTGAAAAAGGAGATTGCGAAAACTGCGTTTTCACAATCACAACCTTTTTGCAGTACTTCCATGTATCTATATGTATCGAAGAGTTTTTTTTGGATATTTTTTAGTCCAAAAAAACGCTTCGATATATATAGATACATGGAAGTAATAAATGATATAGCTTTATGGCTAACAATATTAACAGATGCTGTTATTGATCATATTCTTAAAACAAACCAAAAAGTATAGAAAAGGGATTTCTTAATAAACGAAAAAAAAAAAGTTAAAATAATGGAAATAGATTAAACACCAGATGAAGGAAGTAACTTGACACCTGAAAAATTATTTAAAATACAGTACAAATTTCCAGTGTTCTTGACACTCTATTGTGTCAAATAGATTGGCGTTATGAAAAAATGAAAACTATCTGTGACGATTATTGCTTTCTCTGTGGCTCTTTACAATACACGAGTTTTCTGATTTAAAAAATTCGGCTGTAGATCTCGCTATTAAGGTAAACGCGCAGGTAGTAGACACTTCATGAGTAGTGGACACTTCGAACTTCAAATATGAGTAATAAGGTTGTAGATGACTTTACTGTTCAAACATACAAATCATTCAGTAGACAGAACATCTGCCTGCTAAATGATTTGTAGCCATCTACAACCTTATTACTCATATTTGAAGTTCAAAGTGTCCACTACTCATGCAGTGTCCACTACCGGTGCGTTTACCTTAAATATAGCAAAAATTTAAAAAAAGTACGAATTCACAAGTGAAATTGAAAGTTTTAATTTTGAAATAACAACTCTTATACAAAATATAGAAACTGCATCTCCGCTTAATATTCTACAGGTTCTTCATGATTTTGGTTTAATTGAGTCTTACCCAAATATCAATGTCGCTCTTCGAATATTTCTAACTCTTCCCGTTTCTATTGCTTCGTGCGAGAGAAGTTTTAGCAAGTTAAAATTAATAAAAAATTATTTAAGATCAACTATCGGACAAGAACGATTACCCATGCAGTACATGTAACAAGGAGCTAACATTTATAAAAGACAGTTAAAATTTGGTATCTGTTTAAGCCATGGCCATTATTATAGTTTCATAACAAATTAATAGAAAAAAAGTCCAGCAACAAGTTCCATAACTTTGCTGGCTATTATGTGATTATATTAAAAATATAACTTCTATATTAATAATAATAATATAATAATAAATAAAATTGTGTGTGGTGCCATCTGTTATTAAATTTAAAAATGACATTTTTATATTATTAATTATTATGAAATGGAAAAAAAATTAATTTTGAGGGTAGGAATGAGTTTTATGAAATTTTGTAAATGTTAATAATTAAGTAAAATCTTCATTCAGTTCAAACATATTTGAGATATGACACATGGCCTTATTCTATTTTCTCACCCCTCGATCTTTAACTACCAAAATTTAATAGCATCAATTACTTAATGAACAAATCTCCCTGCAAAATTTCCGAAATTTTCGACAAAAGTATAGGAGTTATTAAGCTTCAAACAGGTTGAACGAAATCGTGCCCCCCATACACACATTCATACATACAGAATTTACCTCCAATTTTTTTTTTCATTTCTGGACATTTGAAAGTGTCTGAATCCAAAAATGTAAAAAACATGGAGATCATCAGGATTCACAGTAATGACTACCCGCAAAGTAAAAAAGTCACTGACTATATAAAACATACATCTTATTGCTGAGAATTAATTTTACTGCATTAAACGAACGTTTTCAACTTGATCAACAGGTCATCTTCAAGTTATCAATTCTCTAAAACGTTTACAATCGTTCTATATTTTTCTAGGATGTTGGGATTTGGAACAAAAGTTATTGAAGGATTAATAAGTTCTTTCTCGGATCCTAGCAAAAAGAGGACGAAGAAAGATATGAACAAAAATGTCACTAAGTTCACATACACAGAAACATATTATGAAAGAAATTGCGGATTACAAATACACAATATTACTGAACAAAAAGGCTCCCACGGTTTATAAGTTGCTTTGGAATGGCCAACATATGATCAGGAAGGAAAAACAATCTGGCGTATACAAGATATCATATAAAGATGATCAATTAGGTTTGAACAAAGAGTATGTGGGTGTCACCACAAGAAACCTCAATAAAAGGCTTAAGGAGCATATGTACGTCATAAACAGTTTAAGAGAATTGATAACCTGACGATGATCTGTTGATGATGTTGAAAACGTTCGTTTAAAGTAATAAAATAGATTATCAGCAATAAGATGTATGTGTGTTATAATCAATGAGTCTGAATATATGTTGAAGTCACTAACTATATACTGTAAGGTCTCGTTTTATGCGGTGGATACGTTCTACAGAAAAGCGCATATAAAAAATTCGCATAAAAAAAGACTTTACTTGCCTTGAAAAAGTAAGGATACGTTCCGTAATTTTCTAAAATCGCATAAAACCAAAACAACGAGTTAAAATTAACTTAAAACCGCATAAAAAAGTTTGCAGAAATTAATAGAAATAGGCTGCTTAATAAATTACTTCGAATGTCTGAAAGAAATTCATATAAAAGCTTAAAATAAACTTGTATTCAAACTTAATTCAGTTTAGTTTATTGAAAAGTAATATACAAGGGGAATCCCCGAATTGCAAAAGCTCACTCTAAAAACAAATCACTGACATCTGGATGTGAAGAGTTAATTAAAACACCTTTAGTTCCTCGCCCGAGTTAACACGGGCAGGTTACATAGCGTTACATAAAACACGGTCCTTAAGGCTTTGATTTTTTTTTGAATTTTTGGAATGTTTTTTAAGTCTCTAAATTTTTTAAAAGTATTTTAAAATATACGGCCAGCTAGTGTTCACCCTCCTTTGAACCCTTGTCCTTCCCGCGACGTCTATGAGAATGCCCCGGGAAATCCAACTCCAGCTGTGTTCAAGGTCATCCAGATGTAAAGAATGACTCATCCATGTTAAATTTCACAGAAGGGCGAGACAAAGGAAGTTAAACTTTGAATCTTTTTCTTCAAAATTAACGCATTTCTTTCGTTTTTTTTTTCAGTTTAAGTATTTTTTATGTTTAATTACATTTATATCGAAAATTGTTAGGAACTAAAGCGATTAAGGTAGATCTAGCTGTCCTTTACATCCATAAACGTTATATGTCAGTGGAACAAATGGAGTGAGCTTTGAGCATTCCATGATTTTTGGAGACTGTCTATACGCGGGCTTCCTAAACAAGCCTATATGTATGTTTGTCCAAGAAATTTTTGGATGAAATACAAACCGCACAACTTGAAAATCGCATAAAAATAATCCGCATAAAAAGAGACCTTACAGTATACAGGAATAAGAGTATCCGATTTTCGGGGGTCGATTTCTCCGTCCCTCAAACATCTGAAGTAATTCCGAATATTTCGTTCGAAGGAAAATTGCTTTCTTAAGTAGTGTTCAAAATTTCAAAATTTTCTGCGATGTGGTTGCTAAAATATAAACAATTGAAAAGTGCAAAAATCGCCAAAAATACTCTATTTTCTTTTCCTCCTCTTTCTTTGTTTGGTACTGAAGACACTCGTAGAGAATAAACTACTGGATGTAGAAAGCTTAAATATTAAACATAAGCCTTTCTCGTTATCAGCAGTGGCCCACCAGTGTCCAAGCGGCCTTCGTACCCTGAACACTGGCAGTTCTAGTCATGGGTTCGCGGTTCGCTCGGACGGTCTGGCCATGTGGAAGTTTTCTGGGCTTTCTCCAGTCTGTAACGCTTAAATAGGGGCCGGTTTCCCTTAAAAGACCTCCCGGAAGGCATCCATCCTAGGCAAATCGCCCAAGTGTTGCGTTGCCATAACTAAACAAGCAAACACCGTTATCAGTGAGGAGCTGGAAAATCTTTCTAATCGATAGATCAAAGTTCACGAGTTTTGCACAGAGTTAATTCAATTTTACAGCTTAATTTTATGTTTAAAAATAAAATTGCATGAAAACTAATAAATTTTATTCAAAATGTTACTCAAAATTACAAAAACTGAAATTTATGCCAATTAAAACTTTTTAAAGCGGTGTATCGTAAGCCTCCATCGACAGCTTGTTCAGTATCCGAGCACCGATTGAATTGTATTATACGTTAAGACAAATTGGTTTTGTTTAATAATTGTATTATCTAGTTCGGAATTTTTTACCGATCGCCATACTTTTCCTCTGTTATATATAGGTTATCAGCTGAGAAAGTAAAAATTACATAGGATTATTACAGAAATTTTAAAATAATAAATGAAAGAAAATATTAAAACTTTTTTATTAATTTTTTTTATTGCAACTACTGTTTTAATATCAATACATAGTCTTAAGAAATGGGTAAAAACTTTACAATTTGCACGAAAAAAATTCGTTTGTTAAAACTGATATTTGACAAGAAAACTATATACATTTAGAAACAAACAATTTTTAAAATTTACATTGAAATTTTATACGTTAAAATAAATAAGTAATTAAAATATTTGAAGTTCTTCACTTTGTCAGCAGTCTTATGACGATAAATTCATATAATATCATGAATTATAACTCCAATTCCATTGGATATTCTGAAAAAAAAAAATGCAATTTTTGAAATGTCATTCTTCAAAAACGTATATTCAAGAATTGTTCAATGATTGAATCTATGAATATACGTTTTAAGAATATTTTTGGACAGTTTTAAAATTCGATTTTAAATTTAAATTCCTTAAATTAACAAGTAATGATTACAATAAATGTTTAAGAATCAATAGAAACGTGAACCATATTTTAGCAAGTAAAACTTTATAAACTAATATTCTTTTATGGTTTTAATTTAAAAATATTCAACTACCTGAGATGCAATCTTTTAGAATTGTAATTGGATCGTAACAATAACTCAGAATATTTATATTTTGAATGAATTCCACGACAGAATTAAGGCAATTACTGATATTTTCGACTTCTTTTCTCACTGTTCTACGCATTCCTTCTGGGATTCCTGCTGTTTCTATATTATTCCTGAAGTTTGATATGCATTCGTCAGCATCTTCATCATCTAACAAAGAAAACAAACTGCATTATTTAATATCATGTGATTAATGCATATATTGAAATTTCTTACCTTGTTCCAAAAAAATTAAAGCCTTTAAATGAAACATTGAGAGTCCGATCATAAATATTTTCATAACATTTATCACAGGCACCAAATGTTCGCTTACAGTTTCTAAAAATTCCTTAACACCTGTCTCTTCGTGTGAAAGTTCAAACAATGGAAAATTAAATTCTTTATTAGATTTTCGATAATAACGAGGAAAATCGATTAATGCCAATTTGAGTAAATTCCTCCGCGCCATCCTTATCTTTAAAAGGAAGAAAGAGTATATTACGAATAGAATTTTGATAAAAATTATTTGTATAATTAAAGCAATCTTAACTATTTGTGATAATTTCAAATCTTGTAGAAAATTATTGGACAACAAAATTTCTTCCATATTCATTACCAGCACAGAATTCAGCAACCATATTAATTTATTGTTACCTTCTTCGTTATTCATATTTTCTGCAAACATCTGATGTATAAAGTTAATTTTTCAGTAGATTTAATGAATAAGAAATTCGCTAACAACTAAAAAAGGATTATTATTATTATTATTATTAAAAAACAAAAAAAAGTCTATAAAAGTTTTATATAATTATGAGAAAAAAGTATATCAGTACCTCTAAAGATTCTTCAAGGAGTTTATCAGAGAAGAATTTTGATTTCGGTGGCTTAAGTCTTCCTATTCCTTTGCGAACGGCACCTGTACTTTCATTTATGAAGAAATATTTGTCATAATCTAAATTGTGCTGTTGTTCTTGTTGGACTGATTCAGGAATTGTTAAAGAAAAAGTAGGATCTACTAAAGCTATTTTAGAAAAGCGTTCGGCATATTCTAAATCATTTTGAATTGACAATGCAGCAGTTTTTTCGGATGTTTCACGAATATGATAGACAAAATCTTCGTAACTATGCATATATGGGTTAGCTTCTGATACCATGTTAAAATTTTCTTCGAAAATAGTAGAATATGAAGTTTCTGCTTTAGCAGTATACCAGGGAGGAGAAGCAGCATCCTTCACCGCCAAAGGAGAAGAAGAAGAAGCAGAAGCAGCAGCACCATCCAAAAAAGTTATATATTCACTTCGTGTTGAGTCAAGAGGAGAAGAAACTTTCTTTTTGTTGCTAAATTCAGGTGAGATGTTAGGTGGGGTTTTATATATGATTGGACTAGTGGGAGGGGTTTTAAATTCAGACATAGGTGAGACGGAGAAAAGTGTTCCTTGTTCGTAAAAAATTTCTGAAAACCTGCTACTAACGACAGAAGCTTCTGGTTTATTATTGGTACTAGAAATATAAGTTTCTCGTTTCTCTCTAGGCGGAGTGAAAAATTCTGATTTATAGCTATCCACAGTACTACTAGTAGAAGGTTGAAGTTCAGATGACTTAGAGAAAATAACTTTCTTTTCGGGTTCAATTGTATTCAGGCTAGCAGTTGAAAGTACTACTTTATCAATAGTTGTATTAGGTCTGGGAGAGAGAATTAATTTTTGATTTTCATGTTCACTTAGAGTCGCATAAGGAAGCGTGTTTTGCAGTTCATAATCAGCTTCTGCTAAATCGATACCATCAAATGCTTTAATTATAGCAAGTTCTGTTTCATAGCTAGCTTCAAAGGGAGTGCAACTACTACTGTGCTTTCCAGACTTTATCTCTGAATACTTTGTGTTACTTTTAGTGATAGGTGAATCGGTTGAAGCTTTCAACCCCTGCTCAACTACGTCTACAGTTATAACGTCCAGTTTATTTTTTCTTTCTTTTTCGATGAGATTTTTATTGATTTCTTTACTTTTACCCAAACTTTTTTCAAACACACGTTTCGACTGGAGATTATTGTCTTTTGGACATTTATTGTTATTCATTTGTAATGCTTTTTCCTCCGTTTTTCTTGGATTCGTCATACGCGATATTAGCGATTCATATTGGAGTTTCCTAGAAAGCACAGTAGATTGTGATATATTCCGAGTAGGAGTTTCATCATCTGGTTTGACGTTTGATATCTTTTTCATATCAGATTCATCTTCAGCTCCTTCACCTGTCTTTGTAATAGTGTCTAATATTTCTCTTCTACCCTTATTTGAACAGACAAAGCTGGCAGGTTTTAATTTGGATTTTGCCTTAAACAGATCTTCAAGTTGAATTTTAGGAACCGTTGCATTATGTGTTTTATTTAAACTTATATTATCGGTTGTTTTCGAGCCAGGATCATCTTTATGTACAGTTGAAATAGTACAAACTTCTTTTTGTTGCGGGGCTTCACTCGAACTCGAAGCTCCGAGTTTATCTACGCTAGAATCTCTTGAAACATCTGTTTCAGATTTATATTTAGCTTCGAACTGACTTTTAATTTTACTGACTTCCCATTTATGAACAGTTGTACTTAAATGTAATGTATCAATTTTTGTTCTTTCTTCGCTGGTACCAGCTTTGGCCATGGTTTCCAGGCTGGAATCAGATTTGCTAAACGGCACAACTTTCATAGTTTTCAAATCACTGTAACACAAATTCTGTCCTAAAATAATCCAAAATAGAATTACAATTAAATTTTCATTTTTAATTAAGTAAAACAATTTAGCAGAAAAATTTTTTACAGTATTACAATCATTCCTTTTCTCAAAAAAGAGCATCATTAAAATTATAACGCAAAGCCGCGAAGTAAAAAAAAAAAAAAATAGAAATATATCATCATCACTAATGGCAATAAAGAAATTTTATATCACAGTGAACTATGAAGTTCAGTTTAAATAGCATTTACTTCTTCGGTTTGTTATAACAGAGGGAAAGTATGGCGATTTTACAAAAAATGATCCAAAGATTTTAAATTTTTGGGATCAGGACATCTCAGAAATGGTGAGAAATGCAAAAAAATTCGAAGGTAATTTCTGTATGTATAAATGTTGTGTGCGCGCATGTTGCGCGATTTTATTAACTCTGTTTAAAGCTCAATAACTCCTGTATTTTTGTCGAAAATTTCTGAAATCTTGCAGAGAGGTTTGTATGGTAGGAGATTGGTGCTATTACATTTTGCAGATTAAAGGTCGACGGGGTGGGGAGATAATGGGAATCGGTATATCATGAGTATGGTCGATTTAATAAAGAGTAAAATCGCCATTAGCATTTACAATTTTTTAAAAATAAAGTCCATTCCTATCCTCAAAATTAAGCTTTTTGCCGTTTTATAATATTAAAAGTAAAATTTTAAATAACTATTTTAAAATTAAATTAAATCTAATCATTCTTATATATCCAATTTCGCTAATCATTTAAGGCATAGAAATAATATTTCTGTTACTTTTTAAACGCATTTAAAGTTCTACATGCAACGTTCTATAATTTCAATCGTATCAAGAATACCACGTTCCATTCGAGCATATTTCAATTTCGTTCGAAAAATTCGATTAGTCAAGATAAGACCTAAGACGAACTACGAAATTGGTCGAAAATCACGAAACACGGTCGAAAAATGTAAAAATTTTGAGTGTGGTCATTTTTGACCAAACTCTGTTATATATAACAACCGGGAAAGTAAAAGAGGGACTCGTTTATTTTACGTTTAAAGCCATGTTATCAGATTCTTACAAAATTTTACTCTAATTTTTTTCTATATATATATCTTTTAAACTACATACGCATGCAAAGTTGTAACTAGATCGGAAGTTGGATTATGGGGTGAAAATTGAGTTACAAATTGTATCTGGACAACAAAGAGATAGAGCGCAGAAACTTAACAAAAAGAAACACAATAGACGTAATAATGATTTTAACAAATACTCTTGTTCGACATTCCTAGTAGTCGAACAGAAAGTTCAGGGAACCATTAGGATAATTGATAATTCTCAATTATACTAGGATAAAAATTTGGATAATAACAAACTTAAAAAGGGGACGAATCCGTTAAATTATGATTATTGTTTTAAGTGGAGATTTTTAAAATTTTTAAAAAGACTACGAGAGTTAAAATGATTGTGCTTCACCATCTATTATATTGATAATTCAATTTTTAATAGCAACTCATGTTATTAGTTATAAACGTTAGTTCAGTGTAACAATTTTGAGAATTTTATGTACTTTTAAAAAGAAATCAACAGAAAATATTAATTAATTAATTAAGAAAAAAATGTTTAATTCTTGATGAAACGAAACGATCAACTTTACAATGTAATACAACAATCGTTTTGAAATAGTTGATTAAAATTATCACGACTCATCAGTAGAAGACATCAAAGTTCTCTTTTTTTTCAAATTCCTTAACATTAAACTATAAAGTATGTGTTGTTTTAAATTTGTGGGAAAAATTATTGTTGATCTTTACCAGATTCAAGAACTTTATAATTGACACACCAACTCATTCTAAAATTCTTCATTGAATAATAGAAACCAGATATGATTGATATTTACAATACAGTACTTACCAACATCTTTTGCAGATTGAGACCTCGTCAAAATGATAACAGGATTCTTTCTATTAAAACTTTCGTATCGTTTTATTCGTTCTTTGACCGAATATGTTAATTCGGGAATATCTATACCTTTAGATGGCATCTGCGTTAGACTGAAATTCGTGTTCCCTTGTTTACGCCGTGGAGAAGTTCGAGAGCCATCATCAGATTTCTTCTTGTTTCCTTTCTTAGTTGGCGGTTTGCTATCCATTTTAGATTTTTAGTACTATAATAAATATTAAATATATTAAGAAAATAATTTATATTAAGAAAAATTCATTCTTGTGAGTATCAGTTTTATTCTTAGACACGCCAATAATACTTTTTTAATCTTATTACATAATCATTTCACGTGAAAATTCAATAATTATCTGTAAAAAAATTATATAAAATTTGTAAAATACAAGAATAATTAACTTACTGTTAAAATTCAATAATATCTTCCTTGTAAATTTCGTGACAATTCCAAAAATTTGTTGTTGATTCGAAATTCTAATGCACTTTGATTCAATGAATCTTTCTGTAAAGCATCGTACTTTCGTAACGATTCTTAAAATATTTATAGTTATTTTAAAATTATTTCTCACTATTTTTATTTGATAATTAGTATATTGTTTAAAAGTATAAAAAATATTTTTACACCAATTATACTATATATCGAATAATTTAATTTGCATATATGTAACCGGTTTATTAAATAAATGAAATGTATGTATTTATGCACTTTAAAATGATTATTATATTTATGTACACGTATTTCTAGTTTTTATATCTTGTAATTAAATTAATTTTAATAACTGAAAAATATAAAACTTTAGTTAATAGAATAGATCTTATTTACGACTTGACAAACACACGGCCATAATCGTCGTGTGAACAGAAGTGAAGTGATTTGATCAGTCCCTACAAAATCGTCATCTATACTAATATTATAAAGAGGTAATGTTTGTAAGTATGTATGTATGTAAGTTTGTTTGCAGCAGGTAATCTCCGAAACTACTCATCCGATTTCAAAAATTCTTTCACCAATATTTAGAATGGAACTTCAGGGTGGACATAGTCTGTATATCATTCCGTTAAACATTCATATAAATTAAAATATATAATCTAGGTTAAGGCTTTTATGTCCAACAGATGGCACTACGAGTACGACGCCCTAAGTTTGCTTTTCTGTGCGGCATTATGCTTTTCTGTGAAAATGAACTAAAGAAGATAATCTTCTATCTATCTATATAAATAAAAATGTAATGTTCGTTTGTTCCTACCGATTCCTTTGAAATTTTGACACAACACTGCATTCGAATACGCACGTGTTTTTATATAATATAGCCTACATGTCGAAATTCAACCCCACTGAAGGGAGATGGTTAGGATTAAGGCTTACCGTAAAGAACTCTGCTTCTATTTATACTATTTTAGATGCGGTTTTTTGCGTTTTAATAGGGTACGTCAACAGAATGTACACTAAGAAAAAATTTTTCGAAAAATTCTCCCCCCCACGGGGAAGTGTTATAAATTTATAATAGATACATTTTGAGCCACAACAACGCGTGGCGGGATCTGCTAGTTCTTTTCATAAAATCATTGCCATAATCTGTGATTTCAGTTGTTATGTACTTGAAAATGTCATAGTACAAAATGTATAATGTGTTAAGTGGTGGATATAAAGGAATGGATTGTAAAGCGTAGACCTAGAGATTTCTCATTCTATTTATAGTATTTAGAATGTCTTACCGAACATTGAATCTTTTTCTTCCCAATTCCTCAACCTTTAATCACCAAAATTTAACAGCATCAATCCCTCTAACACACATATTCCCTGCAAAATTTCAGAAAATTTCAACAAAAAGTACAGGAGTTATTAAGCTTCAAACAGGGTAAACAAAATCGTGCCCCCCACACACTAACATCCAGATATACAGAAATTATCCCCGAATTTTTTTTTTCATTTCTCGACGTTTCAAGGTTACTTTTTTGGACTTAAAAGTCTAAAAATGTAAAAATCTTGGAGGAGTCATTTTTTGACTGATCGCCATACTTTTCCTGTGTTATGTATAACAGCCGGGAAAGTAAAAATCATAGAAGTAAGTGAAAAAATGTAACACATTTACTATCGAATTTTTATTCGCATACGTCTTAGAACTTAAAAAACAGATGTAATATTTACTTCTTATGTAGAGAATTCGCATTGCATTGTACTGAATTCAACAAATGTAATTTTTTCTGTTTTAGTTTGACGGAAAAGTATTCGTGTTAACTGTGAATATAACTAAACTTTATGGAACCTGTTGTGTCATACCATAGCATAAAAAAAGGAAATTGGTTTGTATAATTATGAAAGTGGAAAGCATTATATAAACACAATAAAACCGATTAAACAAATATCGTATAAATTTATTTTATTATAGTCTTCAAACCTAGTAATCAATTTATTCAAAATATTTAATTTTAACCAAATTGGAATGCTTCTTCGTTACAAGATGCCATCAAAAATATCAGCACAATAAAAAACAAAGTGATATTCTGAAGAAAAAACATAATTCTAACGTTTTTCTTAAGACACGATAACTATGAAGTGAATTTTAACATTGAATTCATTGTATGTTATTTTATTTCCACATAATTAACTTTTTAAATCATTTTACCTTTCGTAAAAGGGATGTTTCTGATGTACGGCTTAAATTATTTTCATTCAACACCATGCATTCAAGACTAAAAAGTTTTCAGAAGTATATTAAAATATATTACTTTTAATATGATATTTATGAAACAGCTGTTATGATTTACTATTGCTGTGAAACGATGGTTCCATTTTTGAATTCTCTGTTAACATCTTTGATTCGTTTCTTGTTTGTTTTAGAAAGTAATATTTGAAACTTTTCATTTTCATCGCAATTTTTATCTAAAAAATGCATTAAACATATTGAAAATTAAATTAGTGTATCGTATTTTAAATTCTTTTATTGATTGACAGTTAAAACAAAACACTAAGATTCATATAGACCATCTCAATTTGTATCCATTTGTGATAGGTACAATTTGCAGTGGAGTCAGATGGCATGGAATAAAGGATTGCATTGATAGAAGAAGAACAACACTTGGGCAACCTGTCAAGCCTCCTATTGAACATCTCTTGAAAGGATGTTCAATAGGAACTTATTTAGGTTCTACACACGGAAAGAAAATCCGAGGAATTCCACAAGATTAGCCCGTTGATGAGACGTAAACCTACGACAAGTTATTAGTGTTGATCGTAGGTACCTGTACAACGGATTTTATCTGAACAAATGGTATCTGAATAACCCGTGATAAATTATAAAGACTTTCTAATTCAGATCTGTCTGATCAGAATACAATATCTATGATAAATTATGAAAGTCCAGATCAAATTTGAATTCAGATCCCCATATCAAGTAGGCTGATACGGTACCTCGCGGGTTTCTGGCTGATATTTTAAACTCTGATAAATTTTGGGTTTCACAAACTCACCCAAATTTAACGTAACAAATATTTCCACGTTTTCTTTTCCTTTCACAATGCCTTTAGTGGGATGCAATTGGAATGCATCTGGATTACTCGACTTGATCTATATTAATCAAAAATTTTGATACGTTAATCTAAAGATTAAAATTAATTAATTTAATCTATTCATTAATTTATTAATAAAAGTGTTATTCAACAAGCTATAACCTTGTAAATAATGGTTTCTGTTGAGGAATTATGAATAATAAATTTACTCTTGTTTAAACCTTCTTTTTTATGAAAAGTCAACTTGGAAGGACTAAGAATTAAGAAAGATGTTTAAGAAAATTTTTCAACAAATATTGTATGTAGATTTTATATATACTTACGCGATTTTCAGCGCACATTTCTGGAGATTTTCGTTCGGCATATTCAAATTTTTTTGTCCAGATAGCTGTTAATTTTGTTTTAATAATATTAAAAATAATTATTGTACAGCACTTCTTTGTTGAACTATGTTAATTGTTGTTAGCGCCATCAATTGATTTTAAACTTATCATAAGGCTCAGCAGAGGAAAGCCGTCAAGTAAGCGGGACAACGAATGAACTTATTTAAATTATATTAGTCTATATTAATTTAATGTTTGAACTTTGGATTACAGGCGAGAAAAATCCAGTTCTGCTTCTGAAACTGATTCCAGTGCGAAACTATTTCGACGGAATGGTTTTTCGGAACTGCTTAGTCTGTTCGATTAGACCAGCGGTTCCCAACTTTTTTTCATTAGCGTACCCCCGTGGCATTTCCAACTTCCCAACGAGCAACGCGTGCGCAAATCTCGCACTGCCTGTTTGTAGAGAGTGTCGCCATTTTGAATTTTATTTTGACTTGGTTCTCGGTCCCCGAGTACCTATAAGTTTTGTTTTTTTATGCGCGCATGATTTGGGCACCTAATATTTTGTGCCAAATTGTAACTTTTGACATGTACTCTTTCATACTTCTAAGCTGGTAACACAGCAGGCAGTACGATTTTATAAAGAACAGATAGTGTTGTCAATAAAAAATTAATAAAAATACTGAATAAATAATGAAAAAAATTACAGCTTGTAGAGAAAATCTGGAGAAACAAGCTATGTCCTTTTCCTTGCTAACAATAAAAAATACTTTTTATAAACAAAAGAATACTTTTTTCAAACAACACGTGGGGATGTTGTTGAGAGATAATAATAATAACGGTAACACCAGTGTTGCCGCAATGAAATTTCAAAACGTACTGAAACGCCTTCAAAAAATGTACTATTTTCCTTCAAAATGTACTAGTTCTAGGAATACTTTGTTTACGTGCCTATATATATATATATAGGCACGTAATTTATATATATATAGTTTATTGCCAAATACAGTTGTCCCTCTATAGTCCGACGTTTTTTAATCCGACATGCTCAGTAGTCCGACGCACCTCCTGTCAAGGTACCCAGTCCCGTTACGTGTCTGTTTGCACAGAAGNAAAATTTTGAGTGTGGTCATTTTTGACCAAACTCTGTTATATATAACAACCGGGAAAGTAAAAGAGGGACTCGTTTATTTTACGTTTAAAGCCATGTTATCAGATTCTTACAAAATTTTACTCTAATTTTTTTCTATATATATATCTTTTAAACTACATACGCATGCAAAGTTGTAACTAGATCGGAAGTTGGATTATGGGGTGAAAATTGAGTTACAAATTGTATCTGGACAACAAAGAGATAGAGCGCAGAAACTTAACAAAAAGAAACACAATAGACGTAATAATGATTTTAACAAATACTCTTGTTCGACATTCCTAGTAGTCGAACAGAAAGTTCAGGGAACCATTAGGATAATTGATAATTCTCAATTATACTAGGATAAAAATTTGGATAATAACAAACTTAAAAAGGGGACGAATCCGTTAAATTATGATTATTGTTTTAAGTGGAGATTTTTAAAATTTTTAAAAAGACTACGAGAGTTAAAATGATTGTGCTTCACCATCTATTATATTGATAATTCAATTTTTAATAGCAACTCATGTTATTAGTTATAAACGTTAGTTCAGTGTAACAATTTTGAGAATTTTATGTACTTTTAAAAAGAAATCAACAGAAAATATTAATTAATTAATTAAGAAAAAAATGTTTAATTCTTGATGAAACGAAACGATCAACTTTACAATGTAATACAACAATCGTTTTGAAATAGTTGATTAAAATTATCACGACTCATCAGTAGAAGACATCAAAGTTCTCTTTTTTTTCAAATTCCTTAACATTAAACTATAAAGTATGTGTTGTTTTAAATTTGTGGGAAAAATTATTGTTGATCTTTACCAGATTCAAGAACTTTATAATTGACACACCAACTCATTCTAAAATTCTTCATTGAATAATAGAAACCAGATATGATTGATATTTACAATACAGTACTTACCAACATCTTTTGCAGATTGAGACCTCGTCAAAATGATAACAGGATTCTTTCTATTAAAACTTTCGTATCGTTTTATTCGTTCTTTGACCGAATATGTTAATTCGGGAATATCTATACCTTTAGATGGCATCTGCGTTAGACTGAAATTCGTGTTCCCTTGTTTACGCCGTGGAGAAGTTCGAGAGCCATCATCAGATTTCTTCTTGTTTCCTTTCTTAGTTGGCGGTTTGCTATCCATTTTAGATTTTTAGTACTATAATAAATATTAAATATATTAAGAAAATAATTTATATTAAGAAAAATTCATTCTTGTGAGTATCAGTTTTATTCTTAGACACGCCAATAATACTTTTTTAATCTTATTACATAATCATTTCACGTGAAAATTCAATAATTATCTGTAAAAAAATTATATAAAATTTGTAAAATACAAGAATAATTAACTTACTGTTAAAATTCAATAATATCTTCCTTGTAAATTTCGTGACAATTCCAAAAATTTGTTGTTGATTCGAAATTCTAATGCACTTTGATTCAATGAATCTTTCTGTAAAGCATCGTACTTTCGTAACGATTCTTAAAATATTTATAGTTATTTTAAAATTATTTCTCACTATTTTTATTTGATAATTAGTATATTGTTTAAAAGTATAAAAAATATTTTTACACCAATTATACTATATATCGAATAATTTAATTTGCATATATGTAACCGGTTTATTAAATAAATGAAATGTATGTATTTATGCACTTTAAAATGATTATTATATTTATGTACACGTATTTCTAGTTTTTATATCTTGTAATTAAATTAATTTTAATAACTGAAAAATATAAAACTTTAGTTAATAGAATAGATCTTATTTACGACTTGACAAACACACGGCCATAATCGTCGTGTGAACAGAAGTGAAGTGATTTGATCAGTCCCTACAAAATCGTCATCTATACTAATATTATAAAGAGGTAATGTTTGTAAGTATGTATGTATGTAAGTTTGTTTGCAGCAGGTAATCTCCGAAACTACTCATCCGATTTCAAAAATTCTTTCACCAATATTTAGAATGGAACTTCAGGGTGGACATAGTCTGTATATCATTCCGTTAAACATTCATATAAATTAAAATATATAATCTAGGTTAAGGCTTTTATGTCCAACAGATGGCACTACGAGTACGACGCCCTAAGTTTGCTTTTCTGTGCGGCATTATGCTTTTCTGTGAAAATGAACTAAAGAAGATAATCTTCTATCTATCTATATAAATAAAAATGTAATGTTCGTTTGTTCCTACCGATTCCTTTGAAATTTTGACACAACG